AAATGTATTTAAATTGATAATAGAACTATTAATCTAAAACAGATTACAAAATAACCAAATATCCCAAAAGGAAGTGTGTAAATATAATGCAGATGTGCATTGCAATAAATAAACCACTCATGTTTTAACAACTTGTTTTCTTACATTCTTGACTATATTGGATATTTATTTTTGGAAGCTTTATTTATTGCTGGATTCAAGTTTGATGAATTGGATGTTTCAACATTTTTATTGCAGTTACTTGAGTCATGTGAAGTAGGTGCCTTTAATCTACGAATACCACGCAGATCAGGTTGTTCGTCATCGGGATAAAAGGGCAAGGTACATTTTTTGAATTCGTCTACATGAAAACATATTTTCCGCTTTTAATTTTATCATTTAAACAGTTATAATTTAATTAAATGCAGACAATGTTTAAGTTTTGTTTTCAAATTGAATAAAGTGAACAATCATTTTGTAAATTCTGAATATGTGACTTCTCTTACATATTTGATTTAAATAATTATCTTATCGCAATTATATTATTTTCCATTATCATGTAAATAATGAAATCACTTTGTCTAATTAGGAAATTTGAACAAGCGATACAAATATCGTAAAACAGAATGTTGATGCTACACAAGACATTGTATAATGACATGCAGACGTTCTTAATTTGCAAAAGTGATTTCCGATTAGATAAAGAAATTTTAATTTTTTTAAGAACCGTTTAAAGGTTTATTCCAGTTTGATATATAGGACATAACACAAAAGCATTTACAACTATAATCAATAGATAAATAATTGCATTCATGAAAAATAAATAGAAGATCAACGTACAAATCAGACATTTGCGTAAAACAGCATCCTTGCATTTAGAAATCTTTATTTGTAGCTATCCCTGCATTTATTGTTAGAACTGACACGTGTAATGATTCGTCACATAATATTTGGGCTGGAAACAACTCAGACTTTTGATATGCGTTCTACTTAAATAAACATTTTTATAAGGTTAGGAAATGTCTCTGCGCATGAAAATATCGAAAAACTACCAAAAAATATGATTCCTCAATTTTTCAATAAATGTCATCAATGTGACAATTTTCATATATATTTATTATTAATCCAGTATTTATAAATATAATTGTCTTAACCTACCGTGTGCGTAGATGTCGGTGTTAGAAATTGAGTACCCTTACCGAAACACGACAGGATCATTTAGGAACACATAAAGTTTACAGTGTTCTATTTACAAGCCATTTTAAAATCTCACAACCCTAGTGCGTTCACTAAATATAACGTTTCATCTATCAACCCTCAGGTCAGACAGATCGTCATTTTTAGTCGGTGTGCACGTGCCGTCTAATAGATATGCATTTGTTCATATAGCAATGGGGAAAAAATTTAGACTTGAATTTGTGCATTTTTTTCTTGGTTTAACAAAATCACATTGTTTTCAAATTTTCTAATAAAAATAGCTTTTCTGATGAACAACATGTCACAGAGCTTTAAGGGATTGAAATAAACGTTTAACTGAAGTAATAGTGCCATGTTTGAATATCATATTCTTTTTATAATTATCTAATTTTATCTACATAATAAATAACGTGCCAATGAGCCAGTCTAAAGTCGATCGTTCTAGTCTAATGACGGGAACCAAATTCAGGCAGGGAACAAGAGGTATCATTAAAATACGCAACAGAAATTTTATTGGCGATACGGACACAGCGGAAATATTTTTTTGCAAAACAGGCAAAACGTGTTCGACATGTTATTCATGAAAATAAATAACATTTAAGTTTTAAAACAGATTAACTGATTGAAAAAAGTACGTTTATTTTAAAAAGTATCACAAATATTTTTAATAGGTTATTTTGAAGGATTCTGTGACTTTTCATCTTGATTTTTTACTACATTTAGTGGTCCTTTACCAAGATTCTAGGCGAATATGCAATCTTTAGTTTAATCAAGTAGTTTAATCTTTTATAAATTAGAAAACAAAACGTGACTAAGAATTGATTATATATATATATATATCAATTTATTCATATCTATTATTTGATATTACAGACATAGTTTTGCTATTTGTAAAATAAGAGACAGTTCGTCCTCAAATTCATTCGAACGAACATTATGCTATTCGCACCAGTATTTAAATGGACATATTCTCGGCACATATTGTCTTGAATTCATTTTAAGTTTACCAATCATTTCAATTTTTCTTGTTATCCAATTGATTTTGCTCCGACCAGACGTTTCAATCATTGTCGCAATAGACAAATATTTCAGACTTTCAGACACATAACAAGAACATGGAGAAAAAATTGATTAGTGCTACGGATATTCACCTGTATTAGAGAACGATTTTCAATTCAGATTATGTACATTACCTGTGTTTGTTCACATCATTTGGCGGCGTCTTTGATATGCAGCATCAACATTTAACTTGTTTTTTACTGATGAAGTATTTTGTTATGTCGCATTGAGATCAATTAAGTCATGATAAAAATTGGTTTAACAATAAATAATGTTTCTTATTTTGGCACTTCTTTGATTTTATCCTGCTATGGTCAATATAATGTTATAGTAATAGTATAGCGACGAGACTAAGTAACTCGTAGCTACAACATAGTATCTCGTGGCCACGATATAGTATCTCGTGGCCACGACATAGTATCTCGCTCCCACGACTTGGCTATCTCGTGGCCAGGATTTAGTAACTCGTGGCCACGACATAGTATCTCGTTCCCACGACGTAGTTACTTGTGGCCATGTCTAAGTAACTCGCTTGCAAGTTGCGTCTAGTAGATATGCATTTGTCCATTCAGCAATGGGGAGCATTTTAGACTTGAATTTGTGTATTTGTTTTCTTTCTTTTTTAACAAAATCACACGTCACAAATTTTCGAATAAAACAAGCTTTTCTGGTGTACAACATGTCACAGGGCTTTAAGGGTTTAACTGAAGTGATAATGCCATGTTTTAATATCATATTCTTTTTATCATTATCTAATTTTATCTACATAATAAATAACGTGCCAATGAGCCAGTCTATAGTGGATCGTTCTAAAACTTAACCGTTGAGAGAGGTAACGACTGAGGCAGTGTCACTTACTTCATTTGCTCCGCCTCTGTTAAAGTTTGGCTCCACCTTAAATTGTCGCCAAATGTAATATGATGCTCCATATGCTAGCATTTAGTCTTCGTTGACGGGGCTGAAGAGAAGCAGGACAACTTTGATCAATATCACCTGTCGAATCATTAAATTACAAGTTACAAAGCCTTTATCATGCCCTTTATTAGAGAGACGGTTCTCCCTCAACGGTTAAGACAGTTCGCCAAACTCTACGCACCGGTTACGGGCCAGTAAGGGCAGGTCACTGCCAGTAAGGGGAGATCACTACAGTTCGTCCTCAAAATCATTCGAACATCATGCAATTAGTACCAATATTTAAATGGACATATTCTCGGCACATATTGTCTTGAATTTATTTTAATTGTACCGATCATTTCAATTTTACTGGTTATCCAAATTATTATACTTCGACCAGACGTTTCAATCTTTGTCGAAACAGACAAACATTTAAGAATTTCAGATATGGCATTCCTTTGTGAATTGATGCATTATTCACACAAATATGCAACTTAATTATTAAACAACGAGCACATACCAAGAACATGGAGAAATAATTGATTTGTGCTTCGGATATTCATCTGTTATAGAGAACGATTTTCAATGCTGATTGACTGTTAACATCATCTGGCGGCTTCTTTGATGTGCAACATCAACATCTAACTTGTATTACATTAATGTAGCGCAACATAGGCTCAACTCGTAAAATCGACAAGCCTTATCAAAATATAGATAATTAAAAGCTTATTTACCTGGACGGACAATACAACTGATAATCGAATACATAGTTGTTTTTCTTATTATTAATTAAGAGATAATGATAATGCAATCACATTGTGTTTTAAGTTAGACTCTTTTCCCAATCATTATTTGCGTGGCACCCATTTCAAATCTGAATGCGTAATATCGCAAACCATTATAATTACACCAGGTCTTTAGTTATTATGAGTCTATCAATTTTGAAGTCATATCTATATATTGTATATTATTTACCAAAAGCAGTAAACATCATAAGACATGTAAAATAGATCGTCTTTTTAATAAAGCGTTAATAATTTGGTTTATGCAATTATGTTTTATGAAAACTAAATTAAATCAAAATTTATACATGATTTTCGCCACAAAACATTTTAAGGTAAGATGAACAGAAGTGAAAATTAGTGACAATAAATAATTTAAGTGACATTTTCTTGTTTTAAAACTTGGTGGATAATATATATAATACATACACACACATAAATCACAAACAATCGGCTTGCCGCAGCCGGGTCTCTGGACTTTGGTCCAGTATGCTAACCACCCACTACACCACAGCGGCTGTTCGTTTACCCGACTAATTGACTTTGTATATTTAAGTTATTTTTTATTCCCAGATTTGCATCATTGATATATACATATTGGAGTTAGACATTTTTGTAATTCTAAACCACAACTAAGCTATTCTCATTCCATATTCTAGACGCAAACTCTATTTCTCATAATAAGGAGTTTAAAAACCTAATACAAAGAAATTGTTTTTAAAAGTACATCGTACATTTAAGACCTTATTAGAAGTTACAAAAAGATAGAAATAGAACCCCTACAGAACGTTCAAAACAAATTGCAAATTGAAAATGTTGCAGGCTCGGTTTGATTGAGCCTGTTCAGATTGAACCTTACTTACCCTTCCAATCTTAAAGTTCTTTGCACATTATGTCAAATGTATGTATTGATATTGTTTTGACGTTGATCAATATAGTCAAAATTGTCATTCTAAATCATTCTTGATATAAGACCAAATGTATTTCAGTGGAAAATAATATCATTTATCTAATCTATCATATTACAAGATAACAAAATTAGCTATGCAAAAAGGAAGTGTGTAAATCTAATGCAGCTGTACATTGCAATATAAGGCACGCGACACCCATGTTTAACTACTTGATTTAGTACATTCTTGACTATATTCAATTTGGATATTCATTTTTGGTAGCTTTGTATATCGCTGGATTCAAGTTTCATGAATTGGGCGCATCAACATTTCTATTTCTGTTACTTGAGCCAAATAGTGTCTATAAACTGCGGATACCACATATATCAGATAATTGTTTTTCTTCGGGAAAAAGGTATGTTACATTTTATGAATTTGTCTTCATCAAATATTTTTTAACCTTTCATTTTATCATTTGAATAATACTTTAAGTAAATACAGACGATATTTAAGTTTTAATTTAAATGAAGAAAAAAAATCATTTTGTAAATTCCTATTTAGTTTTTCCTATTATGTGACTTATCATATGTGTTAGATATAGATAATTATCTTATCTTAGTATATTATTGTCCATTTTTACGTATTAATGAATTCATTTTCTCTAATTTAGAAATTTTACCTAGCGACACAATTACAGTAAAACTGTATCTTAATGCTATACAAACCATTGCATATCGACAGGTGACAGTAATTTCGGATATCATAGATATATTGAAAATAAAGAGAAAGTTATTGTGTTTAAAAATCCAGTAGGTTTGATCTAGTTTGACACAATACACAAGCAAAGCATTAACAACTTTCATCCAGAAATAAAATAGTTGCATTCATTAAATATCAGGAGAAAATCAACGTGAAAAACGGACATTTGCTAAAAGCAACATCTTTTAGAAAACCTTATTAGTAATAATTGTTAGAACGCACACCTGTAATGATTCGTCACACAATATTTGGACTAGAAACGACTCAGACTTTTGATATGCGTTTAACTTATTTGAACACTTGTTTTCATAAAGGTAGGGCATGTCTCATTTTCATGTCAGAAAGTATTTGTATTCAAATACCAACATTTTAGTGGAAAACAATAGTCGAGTATAATGATAACTGAAGATCGAAACACGTTCAGTGTTCTTACCATTATCAGAATTGTATGTCATCCCGAAATCCTACCTAGTTCAAAAGACTTTCGAGCCTTCTTTATTTTATGGAACATAGCTAGTTTTCGTAAAGGTTTCGCAACTCAAACTGTTATTTATTTTGGGATTTTACGCCGCAATAGCAGGGTACAGGATAATTTCACATTTACTGATGAACATTTAATACGAAGGCAAATTGGTTTGTATCACTAATTCCCCAACAGTATATATAAAAGAAAAACACAGAACTCGCTAAGAACGCCCAAAACAGGCAAATTAAAAGTTTCGCAGGCTTGTTTTGATTAAACCCGATCATGGGACTAAGCTGCCGTCCCCGCCACCTTGCACAGGCTTTACAATAATACAATGGAATATGGATAAAAAAAAATGATAAAAGTTTGAAAAAAGATACATCGGCATGTAGTAACTCAAGCTCCACACAAGCTACCCGTGCTTAGAATATTTTCATTGAAATTCAAACATTTTAAGTTTCCTTTTATGACTTCCCTGAGATACGTTCAACAAAACTTTCCACCCACTTTTTTATTCAGGTCTGAAATATGGGGTTTAAGAAATCTTGATACTATTGAATGTGTACAACTTAAGCATGTGTTAAGATTAAAAGTCTAAAATCAGTTTCACTTCTCGCAAAATTTACAGGAAAGGACTTAATATAAGAAAACTTTTTCATAGGTCATTTTAGTCATTTAAGAATTGCAAACTTAACTCGGGGAATCTCATTGGCCGTTTTAAAATAAAATGTAAAGGACAGTCCGAAAATGAAATATGCAGGATAGTTCTTTAACTTTCTATAGTTAAATTGCTAAGATATTAAAGTTCTGCGTAACCATACTTCCTCCCACAAAACATTTTGCACTATGTTTTGTTCTCGTGATCATTTTATTTTACCTAAGAACTTACTGAGTCTTTTTACAAAATAACTAACTGAGTTATAAATTTCGTCTAACATATCAAAACGACCTATAACGTTCACAATCCTGTAAGTTCACTCATGCGCAAGAAAATATCGATAAACACATCCTATCGGGCATCCTCAGTTTATATTCAATAAGTGTCCAAAATATTATATGATCATGCATATCAATGTTTATAATTTTCATATATGTTTCCTTAATTATCAAGCATCTATATTTATAATTGCCTTAGCTTACCAACTGCGTAGATGTCGGGTTCGAAATTGAGTTCTTGTACCGAAACACGACCGGTTCATTTAAGAACACATCATACAGTGTTCCATTTTCAGGATAAATAACCATTGTTAAATCTTACCGTTCTAATACGTTCACTAAATATAACGTTCCACGTATCAACCCTTTAGATTATAATATAGCGTGGCTGTCAACCATAAATAGACACAACTAAGTCGTAAAATAAATCGTAAATAAGTGGTTTTAACTTTGGTTGCTTTGGCAACAAATAGTTTGTAAAACATGGCAAATTGTCATTGAACGCCTACCTTGTTGATATTTTTTTTAATATTTGAACACAAAAACTAGATCCAGTGATAACGAAAAAGGACCAGAAAATATTTTATGAAACTTGAAATATGCATTGATGGCAGTCTGGAGATAATGCACATCTTTTTCTGCCTTTGTTAAAAATTGCTTAAAATATGGAAAATAAAATATTTTTTGTGATACTTTAAAAGGTACTAGAAATATGTACTTGAGATATTGATAGATGGCAGTATGGAGATTATACACATCGTTTTAATCTTGACTAGACTATAGGGAGAGCTAGCGTCGCGACCTTGTCAAGATTCCTGATTTAAGTTACTTTGCATTTATTTTCATTTAAGTCCATAAGTTTTTTTTTATTTTCTAATGTATTTTCTTCAAACTTCATAATCTTCCGATCATCAACCCATCGTATGTGACAAGGTTTAAAACTTTAGCCCAAAACTTATCTAATAATTCCCCCCCACCCACTTGAACTGAGATTGTTCATGGAAAGAAATATTTTGTTTCGTTTTTTAAATACAATGTAACTTCTTTAATTGTCAATGTATATACTTCAACCTTTATTTATATGTTTCGTATTATCACTCTTATCGTTTTTGAGAAAATTCAATACTCTAGCTTGACTGTTTCTAGAATTATGTCACCTCAGAACTTAGCTTTTCGTGTCGCCTTGAAAATGCGACATATAGTGGTTACTTTTTTGTCTAGAAATTATTACTTTTAACTTAGACGGTTTTGGTGAAAGAAATACCGCACCCAGTTTAAAATTTTAATGGGGCTTACATTAAAATGTTGCTGGCTTCCCTTGTCTTGTCAGAAAGACTTAAACTTATATTTATAAGTTCTCCAGAAATAGGCTTCAGAACAGTACTCTGGAAGTTACAATATAATAAAGCTGACTGTTCTTTTGTCACAACAAAATCATTATTTAATGCATCACGAATAATTTGTGGTACTTGTACTTATAAGGACATTTTATTTCTAAAAGATCAGTATGGTCTTAAAAAAAACAACAAAAAACAATTATTGTTAGTCAATAAGTAACTGCACAAATTATTTATCTTAAAACTTGTTTTGTGCACATTATTATATGTCTTGCTTATCATGCCATCTTCTTGGTGTAACATGCAATATTGTTTTGTCAATATGATATTGTGGTGAATGTTGACAGAAATCTTGAGAAAAACAAATTGCAAAACATGATTTGGCGTTTTCTTTACTCATATCTCTAAATGGAGATTCGTCCGGAACATTTTCCTATGATCATACTATAGCTATGGTTTTCTAACGGGTTGTCTTTCAGCAGACATCTTTGATTCACGGTTAACTGTATTAAAGATTCAATAGCGAATATTAAAATATATAAATTGCTAAAATTTGATATTAGAAAATATTGACAATTACTACAGACTCTATTTATAAATATATAAAAAAACATGTTTTGACTTCACACAAAGTCGATATATTTTGTTCAAAATAGAAACTAGGAAAAACATCCTAATCAACAAGACCATATAAAAACTTGAACTTGAACTTGACCTTGAGCTTTAAATAACTTTAAATGAATTTAATAAAATTATTGAATTTGGATTAAATCATTATAATTTTGTTGTTTATGTACGAGTTGGATTCTTACTTTGACAAAACAAGACTTCTGGCCAAACAGAAATGTTAAATAATATAGATTGTAGTTTTTCCACCTTTGATTTAACTTTGATATAATTCGACAAAGAATATTTGATGAAGTGACTTACTTTCTTGTCTTTTGATGAACAGATATGAAATTTGGAGCATGTGCACAGTTCCAAATGTTACAATAAAGTTTTATAGCAACTCACCTAGATTTTGACAAAGTGTCTAAATTTGAACTTTTATATCAGCTGATCTAGATTAAATGACGAAATGTATTGTTCTTAGAAGTACAGGCATAAATTGTTTGACTTTGGGCAAAGTTTTAGTTGCAAAAATGAGTTTTAAAATAAGCTGACCTAGATAATTTTATGAAGTGACCTACTTACTTTTCCTTGATATACAGTTATGAGATTCGGACCATGTAAAATTGTAGTTTGATATCAGCTGACTTATATATTGACCTACATTTCTGTCCTTTGATATACACTTATGACATTTAAATCATGTGCATGTGGACAGTTGTAGATGTAAAATTGAAATATGGTATAAGCTGACCTTAAATGTTTGATGAAAAGACCTACTTTATTTTTTCCTTTGATGTACAGTTATGTACACAGTTTCAGTTGACCTAGATTTTTGACGAGGTGACCTACTTTCATGTCCTTTGATATACAGGTTTGTAATTTAAGCATTGCACAGTTCATGATTAAAAATTGAACTGTGATATCAGCTGACCTGGATTTTGATGAATTTGCCTACTTTTTGTCCTTTGATGTACACCTATTAAATTGGAACCATGTACACAACTTTAGATAAAAACGGATCCTATGGTAAAGATTCATACTTTGACAAAACAACGAGGTCGACTAGACTTCCAAGTTGAAATATTAATTAAAAAGGAAATAAATAGTTCCTTCTATAATTTTCTGTTTAAAAAGATGCTTAAACCTTTTATATGCTAACTTTTAGAAACGGAAAAATCTATACGCTTCCCCCTCCCGTTGATGTTTCGTTAGATATATGTAGAAATATATCATTGAATTTAATTTGTATTATTAGTGTAATTGCGCAATACGATTTTAAAATTCTAAATGAACCACATCTTGTTAGATCGAGGCCGAGTAGGTCCATGTTTTGCTTATTTATAATTTTATCATTAGCGCTTCTTTTTAATGTTTTTTTTCGTTCCGTTTCTATGATTTTTTTTTCATTAATTTTGTGTGAAGTCTATACTCTTTTTAAATAATATTGATTAAAATTTAATATTGAAAATTCATCAGGATTAAAATCATAAATGTCATTTCATTGCCGTACAATATAAAACAGTGTTTCTGTAAAATAAAGTATAAAACTGTATAAGCTGTTTCATATCTGTTTAGACAACTTTGCAAACACTTTGCCGTTTTTTAAAATTATACTGCAAACATAATTATTGGTCGAGCGATGTCAACTTAAGTGTTCGAACCACATACCTATAACATATTAGGTAATCACCTAACCGACTATGCTTTAGCAGATGTGACTCTGACCTACACGTTAAGTTGGTGTGACTTTTCAAAACATTAGTTATTTATAGTTATTTACTCCATATTACTTATCGGTTACTATACGGACAGAGTTAAAGTTAGATCGAACATTTAAATGAGTGCTACAATATATCTAGTGCAAAATCAATTCAGGGGTGATTTACACTTTTTAAAATAATTGTTTAATGAGAGTTTGTTATGAATTCAAAGCGGAAATTGTGACCTTAAATACCTATGAAGTCATAAAATTGATTATATTTCAGAAAAGTCGTCTTCATTTTAAGCCATATATTGAAGAGAGTCATAGAAAATAGTAACAACATAACGAAAAAGCTCCGTTGCGGAAGGGTATTCTTTTTTTTCATTATTGAAGCACGTTTTATTTTTATAAGTTGTACAAAAATACATTTTACCTATTTGTAATTGAGTTTTAAATTTTATCCGGTTGATTATTAAATTTCGTTTTAATAGTATGATTTTACTATTTAATTTATTAGGTTTAAAATACGCCTTTTGCTTGAAAATTGAATTTGATAATCTGTTACCGTGGCAACAAGTTCAAATATCTCCGGTATTATTATTTCAATAGATAAATGAAAATATAATCAAACTTGTGAATTAAACAGTTGCTAAAAACAAATGAAACACGTTAATTATGCTAAATAAGCACGTTTAAATACTTCTTATATAATACTCTCTTGTTTAATTGTATTGTTGTTAGAGCTTAGTTACTTGGCATGTAACAATGTAGATATCAACAATAGTTACAGGAAATAACACGCCCCTGTCCTTTTGATCTCAACTATCATAATGATTGTTCAATAAAATACAGCATAAAGAATTAATAAAAGATTTGTTTACTTGAAACAAATTACCATTCGGACGTACATAGTTCTGCCAATTACTTGTTCTCTCTTTAAGTCCTGCCTAATTTTAATTGTTTTATTTATTCTATGTATATATTTACTTTTCAATTTATTTTTTGTTACGTTTGTGACAAATTATGTTAAATGTAGCGCTGTTCTTTTTGCGAAAACTCTTTGAAACCATTGTCAACAGTTTATTAAAAAACACATGGTAACACAGAGATTCAGAGGAAAATTGTATTAATTTCTTAGATTAAATGTTTCTTTGGCTGCATTTACATTTAATTATGCATTTTCAAAATTTCTTTACTTATATTACTATATATTTCTACTTGCAGATGTACGACTGTGACAATTTTGGAACACGACATGTGCACGCAACTCGTCCGGACTTTATTAATTGTGCAAAATTAGTCTTTTTAGCTCACCTGAGCTTGCTCAGGGTTAGCTTTTAGGATCGGTGAATGTCCGTCGTCCGTCGTCCGTCCACGATTGCTTGTGAACACTCGCATTTTTGCCTCAATCACTCGCATTTTTGCCTAAATCATCATCAAACTTGGCTAGGATGCTTATCTAGTTGTAAGCTCGGATGAGTTCGAACATGACTCATCTCGGATGAAAAACTAATTCACAAGAGCTAAAAATAGAAAAAACCTTGTGAACACTCCAGAGGTCACATTTTTGACCCAATCATCATCAAACTTGGTCAGGATGTTTGTCTAGGTGATAGCTCTGATGTGTTCGAACATGGGTCATCTCGGATGAAAAAGTAGGTCACAGGAGCTATAAATAGAAAAACCTTGTGAACACTCTAGTGGTCACATTTTTGAACCAATCATCATCAAACTTGGTCAGAATGCTTGTCTAGTCAATTGCTTGGATGAGTTGGAACATGGGTCATCTCTGATGAAAAACTAGGTCACAGGAGCTAAAAATTACGAAACCTTGTGAACACTCTGGTGGTCACATTTTTGACCCAATCATCATCAAACTTTATCAGGATGCTTGTTTAGATAATAGCTCGGATGAGTTCGAATATGGGTCATCTCGAATGAAAAACTAGGTCAACGGAGCTATAAATAGAAAAACCTTGTTAACACTCTAGCGGTCACATTTTTGCATCAATCATCATCAAACTTGGTCAGGATGCTTATCTAGTTGATAGCTCGGATGAGTTCGAACATGGGTTATCTCGGATGAAAAACTAGGTCACCGGAGCTAAAAATAGAAAAACTAGCGGTCACATTTTTGCATCAATCATCATCAAACTTGGTCAAGATGCTTGTCTAGGTGATAGCTCGGATGAGTTCGAACATGGGTCATCTCGGATGAAAAAGTAGGTCACCGGAGCTAAAAATAGAAAAACCTTGTTAACACTCTAGCGGTCACATTTTTGCATCAATCATCATCAAACTTGATCAAGATGCTTGTCAAGGTGATAGCTCGGATGAGTTCGAACATGGGTCATCTCGGATGAAAAACTAGGTCACAGTCATCCTTGTTAACAATCAAGTGGTCACAATTTTGACTCAATTGTCATCAAACTTGGTCAGGAAACTTGTCTATCTTGTCTTACTGGTCAATGCTGGGAATAAATCGAACATGGGACATCTCGGATGAAAAACACTCTAGTGGTCACAATTTTGACTCAATTGTCATCAAACTTGGTCAAGAAACTTGTCTATCTTATCTAACTGGTCATTGCTGGAAATAAATCGAACATGGGACATCTCGGATGAAAAACTAGGTCACAGGAGCTAAAAATAGAAAAATCTTGTTAACACTCTTGTGGCTACTGTTGTGATCCAAATATTCTGTTAATTGGTCTGAAAATTTGTTTTGATGATTTCTAAGTCAAGATCGAACATGGGTCATCTTGGATGAAAAACTAGGTCACACCGCCCAAATATGGAAAAACCTTGTTAACATTCTAGTGGTCACATTTTCGACTCAATTATCATCAAACTTGGTCAGGATGCTTGTCTAGGTAATTGCTTGGATGAGTTCGAAATCGCATGTGAAACAAGGTCACCGGAGCTAAAAATAGAAAAATCTTGTTAACACTCTAGTTGCTACTGTTTTGATCCAAGTATCCTGGAAATTGGTCTAAAAGTTTGTTTTGATGATTTCTAGGTCAAGTTTGAATATGTGTCACCTGGGTAAAAAACTAGGTCGCGCTGCTCAAACATGGATAATCCTTTTTAACACTGTAGTGGTCACATTTTTGACTCACCTGTCATGAGACTTGGTCAGAATGCTTGTCTAGGTAATTGTTTTGATGAGTTTGATAAGTCAGGTGAGCGATCTAGGACCATAATGGCCCTCTTGTTATATGCATATTTTTGATCCCATTTTTCAGAAAAAGCGTTTTACCTTACACATAGTGTACTAGTTAATTACATAAATAATTCTAAAGATAATTTTCAAACGTTATCATTTTCAAGATCTTTGAAAGTGTACCTGTTCAGTTACGTGTACCTGTTATGTTACATGATATGACAAAATTCCATAAAGAGGAAGGTTACCCTTGATTTTTATTTAATTCCCCCTTTTACAATTATATTTTTACGGCTTTTCTCCATTTCGTACATGTTATCAATAAATCACTTGAATCTTGAAATATTAGACCAATTCTAAATTTAGAATGCAAAACTTTAAGGGCAAGCAACCTTTTACTTCAGGTGTTTAGATAATAATATATGCCATTTAAAAAATGATAATAATATGGTATTCAATTGAAGCTTGCGACACATATTGCAGAATTAACAGTATAAATCCCATCTGTTCTGTCACTGTTTTTTGTTGTTTTTTATTTGAAAATTTTCAATAAATTTCAACAGGATATGTAACGAACAAGCTTCAGTAAGAGATTTTGAATTAAAAAAGCTTGAATTGCAACTGAAAATCAAAGAGCATGAAAAATATATTGCAGAAGCGAAGCTCAACAGAGCACAGACTGAAAATGAACAAGGCAGAGACACAGTAAAGAGCAAGATTGATTACGAGAAAGCAAGAGCAAATGCCGAAACAAAAAGGGAAGCCGCTGAAACCGCTAGGGCCAAGGCTGAGAGAGAAACTGCTCGGGCTAATGAGTTGAAATTCAATCGAGATATGATACATTTGCAATCATTATCATGGTAAATATACCTGTTTCAAACAAAAATAAGCAATAAATGACAAGTTTTATTTTACTTTTAACATGAATTTATGATAAAAAAAATGCACCTAAGTCAATTTTTATCTCTTGTCGAAGACGAAAAGGACGAAAAGGATATTGATTTGGCTTTATCCGTGCAGCTGTTTGACTTTCTGTCTTTTCGTCTGTTCGGCAACAATTTTGTGTGATTGGTATGATAACACTATTCAAAGGTACATAGTAAGAACAGCAAAAACAATTCTTTGTACTATGAGGCGGAGGATATCAATTTAAATTAAATGGTTGCTAATATTGTTTATTCTTTTAATAGGATCCTTGGTCGTGTAACATATGTAACAGTTATGAAAGTTCTAAAAAAAAACACACAAATCTTCATTAAAGCAGTGGACATCTGCGAATGTTTAACTTTCAATGACTGCAAGAGCAAGTATTTAGATAAAATGTTTTTGACTTATTTAACACCTTTTGAAATGTAACTTATAATCTTCAAGCGTTTGCAATACCTGATGTACACTTAGTGAGCGATGAATATTGGGTCATATTGAATAAATTAATCCTCGTTTTCATTTACTGGACAACGGTGCCATTTAAATAGCCTACTGCCTGGTTCACGTGATTGTCAAAAGACAAAGTACTAGTATGACGAAACTGGATTCTATTTACGAAAACATATAACGAAAAGTGAATACCAAATTATTTTAAAATACGCAGTAAGTGTTACAGGGCTTTAAATGTGCTCGAGGTCTCTTCAGATGCTAAGGCAATAAAAAAATTACCCGTATTGATGATGTACTGATAAACTGAAAATATATCGACCGAAACATTAGTTTATACTATGATATTTTATTTTATGATATCATAAACCAACAAGAAATGTTGGACGACACTTATGCCCCCTTTCTAGCTTTTGACTCACATTATTCGTAATTTTGCTATAGAAACTTGCCATAAATGGGTACATGAAAGTGTTCAGTTATGGAATAAAGAAATATAATGAAGACTTTCTGATAAATAGTTTTCAAGATAATGAGCGGAAACCATTCTGACATTTAAGGCCCCTATGTACTTGACCATTAAACTTGTGACCCAAAATCAATAGGGGTAATCTAATACTTATATCAAATCAATATTTAAAATATGAAGACTGTGATAAAAAGCTTTAAGATAATGATCGGAAACCATACTAACATTTAAGGACACTGACCTTTGACATAGTGACTCTAAAATCAATAGGGGTCACTTACTAGTTATGAGCAATCAGTATGTGAAATATGTAGACTTTGAGACAAATAGTTTTAAAGATAATAAGCGTAAACCATTCTGACATTTAAGGCCCTGTGATCTTGACCTATAAAATAGTGATCCCAAAAGCAATATGAAAACTTTGTGATAATCAAAGATAATGAGCTGAAATCATATTACCATTCAAGCGCCATGTGGCCTTGACCATTGACACAGAGACCAAAATATCAATAGGGGGTCATCTTCTAGTTCTGACCAATTAATATGTGAAATATGAAGACTTTGTGATCAAAAGTAACCAAGATAATGAGCGGTCACCATTCTAACATGTATGGCCCCAATCACCTTGATCTTTGACCTGGTGACCCCAAAATAATTAGGGGACATTTACTAGTTATGAAACATTAATATGTGAAATATGAAGACTTTGTCAACCTAATAAGCGGAAATGATACATCCATTCAATCCCCTTTGACCTTTACCTTTGACCTAGTGACTTCAAATCAATAGGGGACATCTTCTAGTTAAGACCAATCGCTATGTGAAATATGACGACTTTGTGATGAACACTTTTTAAGATTATAAGCGGACTCGGTTTGATTGAGAATGCACATGAGGGATAATGAATAAGCATAACATTCTTCACGCTCCCAAGCTTGGCCTGAGCGGTCACAATTTATACTCATACTTGATGCGAAAAATCAGGCTCGGCCAATAGAATTTTACGCAAATACTTACATTACAAATACTGTCATATCTTTTGATTCTGCAAATGGATTTTTTTTCAAATAAGATATGATAAACAAGATAAACAAAGAGACAATGAACGCAACTTTATAGACACCCAGTGAGGATTATTCGTGCTTAATATCTAATCTCTAGCACTTCAAATTCTCATTCCAATATGAAAGTAAAATGGGCCTGCAGATTGTTTTCAAATGGAGTATTTTCATTGGTCACAGGAAAACCTCGGACCAATGAAAATACTTAAAGGGAAACAACTCTGCTGTGCCAATTTACTTTCATTCTGGATTGAGAATTTGACATATAGGAAAAAAGGTGCGTTATAGTT